GCCAGACTCCTCCTTTTCTACATGATCATTTAAATTTTGAAAATACATACATCCCTCTGATTGGTTGTTAGTTATGTTAACATAACAATAAGATTTTCTCAAATTTTGAATTTATTAAAACATTACAGATTTAGTTCAAGCTTTTACACTAAAATTGATAAGATCAAATCCCATCCTGTATAATTATCAATATATAATTGTATTGACCAATCAAATGTTTTAAATGTGTACCGGTACTTTTTAGAAACATTGTGTTGTAAATTATTGCTCTATAACATAGAAACTTCGCATTTGAGACTATTGCCTCATGAAATAGAAACTTTGTGTTGGAGACTATTTCCTCATCCAATAGGAACTTTGCTCCTTGAGACAAATACTTTGGGTTGGAGACTTTTGCATCATGACTGAAAAATATATAACCTTGATAACCTTAAAGATACTGGCAGTACTGTTTAATACCAGTATTAATACCAGTATTAGAAATTGTTATTTATTTCTAAAACAATCCGATATAATTATACTGGTAATTCCCTTAATCTGCTTTTCATTAAATGGAAACTCTATCAATAGATTGCCCTCAACTTCAAAGTAAGCCATGATTAATATGATTCTCAAAGACATTGTAACAGAAAGAACAACTACTAAGTTCAAAACACTAAACCCATTGCCACTAGATTTTCATCTAAAGATTATGAAAACAACAGCAATACACAATGGTCATGCAATTGTATCTTCTGTCTTAACATCTACTTTCTCAAAGAAAAAAAACACACTGCAGTAGAGTGTTTCAATCATAATTAAACATGAAAATCCTTCATACACACTGTTCAATTAATTACATTAACACTTTGTTTGTGCACTGGGTCTGTTTCTTTAACCGTCTCATAAATTACCTATCAATCGTGTTACATCAAAAGATCTTACCAAAGTTCATTTCAAATTCATCTTATGATAAATTCAAATGGAATTCTTCATTAAGTAACCATTGCATCTTTTGTAATTTGATGGCAGTTTATCACGCCATACAAAAACATAATTACTACAAACCCATCCTACAGATTTGATGAACTTACTGAAGTGAAGAACAGTAAGCTAGTAGTATGATGACAATGAAAAAAGTCTCAATTTTTGCATCAAATTTTAAAAGATTCTTATGCAAGTTACCATCATGTTTGGGAGGGTTTTTTTTGTCAATATTATCTCACAGTGAAGCCAAGTCTTCAGAGTGTGAAGCTAAGTTAAGTTCTTCATAGTGAAACAAAGTAAAATCCATCACAGTTACTTCTCAGTGAAACAATTTAAAGTACTTCACAGTCACTTTTCAGTGAAACAAAGAAAAGTACATCACAATGAAGCCAAAGAAAAGTAAAAGAGCAAAAGTTAGTTTAAGCATCATAACAATTATAAAGAAACAAACACTTCCAAAAAGAACAGTCAATGATATAAACGGCCTTTCACTCCTCCAATATGGTTGGTGCTATGGTGCTAACACCAAACACTGTACAAATGTCAGAAGATTGATAATGCATTCTTTTCAATCGTTGCCATAAGCAGTTTGCACGGAGAAACACAGCTTATTAATTTTCAATTTTACCTAATCAGATTGCCTTCATAATCAGTCCACAATTCAAATCATATTCAAGGGCTTACGCTGATCCTTTCTCATTCATCATTTCTCATTTTCTCACTCATTCTTTTTTGTCCGCGGCTCTCAATCCTGTCATACTAATATCTCATATCTAATATTGCTTATGAATTTGTTTGCCAGGAACGGGATTGCAAAGTAACAGTAAATTAACGTGCTTTCAGACAGCTTCCTCCTGAGTAAATACAATATACAGGACGAGGGCTTAGCGAAAGAGGGACTTATGGCGGAAAATGAGTTCATCATATTGTAAAACACGTACAAATAATATTTTCATCCACTGGTGAGAGGAAATTGCATTTATAAGCTTTAATGTTCATATTCCTATTATAATGATAAAAAACCTCAAGTCCTAAAAGCAAAGGAATTATTTCCAAATGTATCTAATGGCAATCCTATCAAAGAGTTTTATGGATTTTATGTTGCCATGGTAACAGCTTAATCAATAACAATTCAATAAAGTAGTCTTCATTTAACTTTATATTTATTTTACTTATATGCTTAATGGAGGCATTACATGGGAGATGGCATTTAAACTGTTACATCACATTAGTAGTCTACTGAGACTCAAATTGGAACTACTTTCCTAACTTACACAATACATTGGAAAAAAAACTTAAAATTTTAAATATTTTTCAAAAGATAAGCAGATTTTGATCTTAATGAGATGTCATGTTGTGACAATGGCAAATAATGATCTAATTTGTCATTTGAATTGACAGGTGACATCACCTTAACTGACAGCTTATTGAATTAGGGTTGTCTCCCTTTGTCATTATCACACTCCTGTGTATCTTGGTTTAACAAATTTGACAAAAAAATGCATATTCTATAAATTATTGCTAAATAAATTGAAATGACCCTAGGGGTAGGGTTTGTAATATTTTTTTTCTGGTTTTGAGGTATAATTTTTTCATCTATTTTATGATATCATTTGATTCATTGTATTTATTCAGATAGGAATCTGAATAAAATTATTCAAATATAACTTCAAATGATATGTTTTAAAATGGGAAAAAATAACACAGAATCTTGATACAATATTTCTGCAGGCATAATTTCTGCATACTGCATAACAAAATATGCGTGTTTACATAATGTGTTATGGCTGGAAGACATTCTACATCTATATATTTTCAATGATACATCTTTAATATTCTAGATTATGCATAAAATAAATGTAAAATTTATATTATATCGTCTGCAACTTCTCCTTAATGGTACAAAAGGCTTTTTACATACAATAGGCTTTGAGATAAAATCATAATCTAATTTGGCAGAAACTTACAAGAGACCTAAAAAGGGAAAAAGAGCCATGCATCAGCACTTATTCAGATAAACAGTATATATATATATATATCAAAAAACTTTAATGCACACACTTAACACTTTTGTTATAAAAGTAAAAAATGTCTTATATAAATTGACTAAATGTGTTATTTTTTAAAACGTTACTAATGACATTTATCTGTAATATTTTTGTCTAGAAAAGGGGTCAGAAATCAATTTAATGACGGTAGTATGCAATTTAACCATTCAAACACATTTTAAATTTTCAGTTTAAATTTCATTATTTTACAACTTTTTATTTAAGCATATTTTTTTTTCATTTTTAGCCGAATTAATTTACTTAAGTTTTTATTTTAACATGTATCCTAGGACTTTTGCTTTTCTTTATATATGTCCACTAATCATCGTCATATTTCATTTGAAGTTCCCTTGACAGGGTACAAATAAAATTTACAATCTCTTTTGCCAATATATTCAAGTTATTATTACAATATTAATTTGTCCCCGCTGATTTACCATCGCCCCTGAATGTTCAAGATATTGAGAAACATGTCAATTTAGCACGGGACATATATTATAAATCATATCATATTTGCCGATTTATTGAAGGAATCTTATTGCGTTGTTTGAATAGAGGCTTCCCTATCAAATCCATCATGATTGTGATATTGAAATATTTGTTAATATGACATCGAAAGATGTTATTCATACAGATCCGATGATTTCAGCAATAATGGCTGCCACATGATGGGAAATATTCATAAACGATGACAATCATAAAGGAATCGTTTTGACCCGTACTGACACTCCACGCTTTTTCTGAGGAAACGGAGCTGGTCCTGGGAGGGTTATTAATTTCACTATATGTGATTTATAGCAATAAAACCTGTTTTTCATACAACAAATATCAGGCTCAGAATCATAAAGGAGAATATGGGAATATTTTCATCTGATTACTAAATGCTGACAAATAAGTCTCAGATGATATGTAAGACAAAATATAAGGGGCAGAATACAATGCAAGTTGGTCACTGTAAAAGGGAAAGCTGAGATGACGGACATATTGGCCAAAATTCTTAAATCTTAATTATTCGAAATCTTCGATAAATCAAGTCATAATAGAACCATTGAGTATCTGAATGTAGATGAAATAGGAACAGTTTTCCATCAAATTAATCTTTATAACCTAATAAAAGCATAAGTTTATAAAAAAGAATCAAATAGTTTTTTTCCCCTTTTTATAAGTAAATATACAAGTATTTGTGAGTTATGTTTGGGTAATGTTTAATTTCTTTTCTAAACAATAGGATATGACAGAGCAAAAGCCTCGCACCTCAAATTTAATAGTCCATTTGTATAAGTAGAGAAATGAAAATACATTTGAAAAATATAAAAGTTATGGCTATTACTTTATAATGATGGAAATTTCCTACTTTTGAGTGTTTTATTTTTGCTGGACAAAAGCAGAAACAGACATTTTATTGTTTATTTACGTGAAATAACAATACTTCTTATACTTTCCTCAATTTGGGTGCATTATCAATATGAATTCAGCTATATTTTATGTTTTGCTCCTATAAACTGTATCTTTTGGATCAAACGATGTTTACCCAAAGTGCACAATAAAGCAGACACGGCTTTTACGAGTTTGGCATTTGAAAGGGTCAGATAATAAAATATAAAAATAAAAGGGAATCATATCTAGAACAAGCCCCTCGTAGACAAAGACTTCATTGAGTCCCATGATAAATTATATCACATAAAGTTATTGCAGTTTTATGTAATATAAGATTAGTCATAAAATATCGCCACTTATAAAACTTACCACTTTTTCAAATATATTTGTGATTAAAAGCGTTTTTCAAGTGTGCTGCCAATTTTGTATGTCGAAGATATTTTGTATTTGCATAAGCTTATATTTCAAATTGATCTGCCTTAAAGAACTATGATTTTTAATGAAAATTTCTTTCTTCATATAAAAAGAATTAATTTTAAAAAATCTACATTTTTGAAGAAAAATATACAATTCCAAAATGAATTTCAGAAAATATGGTTCAGTACTAACCTTTAGAGCCTGACCCACTGTAGTCAAGGATAGCGGATGAACTTGAAGAACTATTTGCTGAGGATACCTGCCCTGCCTTGCTTGCTGCTGACATCAACAGTGATGTTGGTGATGTAAAACTTGACACTGGTGGTTCTGATGTGGTTCCCCCAGTTGTGGATACTGACACTGTTTTCGAAGAAAGTTCTGGTGACTGTTGTCGAGTAGGAGAAGTTGTTCTTGACAACTCGTCTTTCGCCTTTTCACTGCTTGAAGCAACTTCTGATTTAGGTGATGGAGTTTCACGTTGAGAGGAAGCTTTAGATGACGGTTCTTGCTTAGGTAGACTTCCAAGGCCACCTTGTAAGTTGAATCCTGGGAAACCAGCAGCTGCAAGAGGAAGTTGGTTCATTAGAGCTGTGTGAAGTTGTTGACCATTCTGCACTCCACCTGCCACCAACTGTTGCTGTAACTGGTGTATCAACTGTAATTGCATTATCTGTTGCTGCTGTAAGTTGAATAGGGCTGCATGAAGCTTGCCAACATCTTTCTCCTCCTCTGGATTGTTTTCAGCAAACTGTGCAACCGCTGCCTTTGTCGCTTCCATTGGTTCTAACATGACATTAGAGCTAGAATTGGGATTCATGCCAGGTATTAAACTTTGTAATTGCTGCATGTATGCAGACAACTGAGCTGGTGTTATACTAGTCTTTGCTTTCTCTCCTAGTTCTTTTTCATTCATGTCATCAAAGTCATTCTCATCATCTTCAATATCATCAATGGATTTATTGTAATCATCTTCTATATCATCATAATTTGACTGGTTATCAAAATCTTCCTCATCACCACCTGCATCAACTTCATCATTACCAGTCTGGTAACCTTCAATATTTTCATCAGGATTTACATCAGCTCCTTGTGAACCATTCTCACCATCCACTACATCAGTGTCATCAGATGCTTGATTTGTAAAACCATTCATATTACACAGATCAGACTGGTTCTCAGTTTTTTCACTATTCTCTTTAAATAACAACATAGCTGAGTTCAAGCACTCTTTCTTATGTTTCAAAAGTTCATTTATATCCAAGAATTCTGCCTTGCAGTTTGTACAAAGATGAGTGTTGTTCATAAGGAGATTCTTATCATCAGTGACATCACCTGCAATACAGAAAAAACAACATTATAAATTGTGTAAATGCTGTCAGCCAAAAACTGCAGTAAAAGTAGCTATAAATAGCTTGCCGCCATGGTGACATCACAATAAAGTTAAAAATAACTTAAATATATAAAGTCAATAAGCACGAAGAAAACACAACAGCCACTGTGGTGTAGTGGTAAGCATACTGGACCGCCAATCCAGAGACCTATAGTTCAAGTCCTGATTTTTCTCGTAATTTTTCTGTGTATATCCACAAACATTATAAATCAGGACTTATATATCACTTAAATGCTTATTACTGGCAACTCATATTGATTCAACTCAACTAAAATAAAAAAAGATAATTCAAAATCTTTACTATTGTAATGTTGCACACACACACTTTAATCACATCATCTATTAGAACAGCAAATATGCATTTAGAATAATTCAGGTCTCAAATTCCTTTGAAATTTTACAAAATCTTTCCAAGACATTTTTTTTTGTGCCGAATCACAAGTGGATAAAACAATTCAAAATGTAAATAAAGCTGCAAAATTCATCATTTCTATAGCTGCATTGTTGAGGACGTCAGGCAATCATAGGCCGATCCTATCACGAAACACAAAGGAAGTTTTGATTACAACATTCAGCAATGCATCCATCTTTTTTCCATCAATCCAAATTATCATGGCATATCAATATAAAAACGTAATTGTGCCGATTAGATGGCCGATGATATGGTCAAAGAGCAAGTGCACAAGAATAAGAAGTTTAATCAAACCCAACCTTTTACTAAATGAAAGAGTAACTATCAATAGCTGATATCAATGAGCTTTTGCGGAAATAATTGTCAAGGGTTAAGGCTTGAATAATGAAGGTTGTGAAAACATGTGCCCCTCGGGACACGTGTAAAGAAGTCCCTTGACCCAGAAGTAATCAAAGAAATACAATCTGGTTTGCTGTAAATATGAGCAGTCATCTACAGGCATGATGGAAAGGGGGAGGGGTGTTGGGGAAGGTCTTGATAATAAGGACTTATAAGGACATAAAAATTTATGAATTTTAAAATCTAAGAACAACATTGATCATAAATTGTTTTATGTACTTTAAAAAAAAAGGAAACAGAATGATGCTCTGGAGTTATTGTGTGTTGAGTCCCTATGAAAGGATTAATTTTTTTATAACAAAAGATGGTTAAATAATTACAGTATTCACAACAGACTTGCAAAAGATCCACTGGAAACTTTTATCTATTTATTCTAGATGAAGTATTGCAATATATTTGCCTTGCAAAAGCAACTTTTGGAAAAGTGTCCATTTTCTTTTTATTTCTTACTCAGTTTTTGAAAAATTTTCTCTGATAAATCAAATTGTTCAGATTTACATAAAAAAGCCTGAAAATTCATTATTTTCAATGATTTTTTTTAGAAATCTGTCTCTGAAAAGTTGAAGGACCTTCATTAGTCAATTTAGTGCCTCAAGTGTACTAAAATGAAATATGTCAAATATTTTCATAGCTTTTCTCTAACTGCATTAATATTTTCAGAAGCTCCCTAATCAAATTGACACCTTCGCCCATTGATAATTTGTCAACTTTATAAATGTGTGACAGAGCACGCCCCTAGAGAGATAGTGTAATCCCAAATCAAATCACTGAGTTATGATCACTAATATTCAAATCTTATTCCTTAAATGTCTTTAAACAAACAATGCTACGAGGGATTTATAGCAGGTTTCTGAGATTTCCATCTCGGGAGCCCTCGGCCTTAGCTTGCTGAAAAAAATGACAAGCATCGTTTTCAGAAATGTCACAAAGTTCGCATTAATGTTAATTTGTGACAACCTATAGAAAATGAAAACCTAGCATTACTGACAGACCCTGCCATAATTCGTAAAATTTACGGCCTTTAGCTCTCTGCTCTGACACAATTGCTTCAATTTTCTTATAATTACACCATCCTTACATCACTTGATTTGATTTAGTCCTTTGTCTAAGAAACTCCAGCCCTATTGGAAATTAAAACTTGCCACTTTATTAACAATAATTTCGGGCTGTAATTACGTTTGAAATAGCATAACCCCTCATCTCCACCTATTAATCTGTCATCAGGCTCCTCAATACGTTAAACAAAGACACGTAAAAACATAATGGTTAACTGCCTGTGTAAAAACGAAAAATCACTAACTGCCCCGCTACAATATTTCTGCCGTTACCCTATCCTGTGCTATTTAACTTCTCGACAAATAAGGTTTTACTTAATTCAATAAAACTCGCCTTAATTCTGAAGATGAATGCAAATGATTAAAAGTACATGTATAATTTCGATCATTAAAAAATAAAAACAACAAAACAACATTCAAATCTATATCAGCTGGACTTTCATTTTGAAACGCTTCTCTTTCTTTAATTTTTTTTTCTTCCTTTTTTAGATAATAAAATTTTTTATTAAAAGTCATGCATATACGTCTGCGTAATAGAGCAATAATATTATCTTTAAAGTAAATAGATGACGGTGGATTATATATCTCCGTACATATCATCATAACACTATAGTCAACCATTCATTTCCTTTCCAGCCACCTATCTATATAGAAATGCGTAATTAACTTATATTAAACAAACCGAACCTTGGCTACAAAAATAGCTATGACTTACGCTGGCTCTGTAAATTTTAAACAAAGTACTTTCGTACACCTATACATATATCCTTAAGTCAACTTATTCAAATATTTAATCAGTCACAATAAAGAAGATGAATTGTTCATCTGAATGCAGATGAAATAACACATTATAAGAATAATAATATCATATAATACCAAGAATAATCCTGCGGCTGCTGCAATTTCTCATTTGTAACACTTCAAAATTATTTTTAATTTAATACACGCGTGAAAAAATCTCACTCCACATTTGCACTCCCTATCCTCTGTATATTAAATTTATTAGATATAATTATACCTAGAATATTAGCAATATTTTCAGCCAATCAAAACACCCGATACACATGACCTACGATTTCATTGGCTAATTTAATGATTTGATCAAAACTTTAATGTGAAATTTCTTACAGATTTTATCAACATCTGATTATTTAGATATACACGTGTCAGTCTAGTTAATATTTCATAATCTTTCATATCTTGAAAAATTTATTCCCCAAATTAAAATGTCCCAAGGCTAGCTAGGTGCAGTGTAACATTGAAACAGAATATCAGTTTATGATTTGACAAGATCAAGTACAATGCATGCCATTGTCCATACAAGCAACACTAATAAATGTTTAGTATCATAAGTACAATATTTGAAAGCATTTCTCATAAAGCAGAAGTTTCTGATTAATTAGCAAGTACCTTGGTACAACAACGAGACAATAAATCTGACTTGGTAGATTCTATGAAAGAAAAGTGCCACTTGAAGATTCAAACCCCCAAGTGGTGAGAGGCAAGTGGTAGCTAGTGTAAGGTAAGCCACCAAGCTTTAAAGCAGCACACCTCCAGATTCATGGTAATTTTCGTGAAAATTTTTGAAAGTATCTTTAGATAATATATAGTGAGTTGAACAAAGAAAGTATTTCTTACATTGCAAACAGCACTTACAATCCACATAAACTACCAAAAAGAGGTCAAAATATGCAAAAATAGCCCTCTTATGCATTAGTAACGATTCAGAAATATGTTGATCAATACAGCAAAATCAATACAGCAAAATCAATACAGCAAAATCGGTTATTAATAGCACATAACATATTTATACATAATTATATTTTTATTTTTATCTTGAATCTTTCTACTGATATAATCTGGAAATATTGTTGGCTCATTTGGAGGCATGCAGCTTTATACCCATTTTCATAATAAAATTATTGAATATAAAAAAAACAATATTATTCTAATGAATTCAGCAAAAAAGTAGATTCTTTCGCATGACGACTATTTTTGTAATATCATTTCAGTTTTTACTGATTAACACTTATGTATATATCACCTCTGAAGGTAAAATCATATTTCAAATAATAAAAGTGATTGAGGTAACATCCATTTTTTTTCCGTCTGTGTATGAAATTAAATAGTAATAAATCTTGAATTGTCTTTGATGTACATTTTTTTCAAACTGTACTTTCATAAATCAAATATAAACACCTTAAATTGAATCTAAAATTTCGATTTTGTTGAACTGCACACATTTAACAAAGATTATACAAAAATGAAATAATTTTTACAGGGATGGTTACAAGATTCATAAATTGGCATTAAATCAAAATTAATAACATTGCAAATCTTTCAATCATGCAAATACTTTTAACAAAGTAACCAATTGTAAAAAAACTGAACATTTTAAACGTAAATAACAAGAAAATGATGTCTCAATTAAAGGTAAAATGTAGTGTACATCAAAGCCTAAATGGGATTACGAAATGGGCTAAAACCTCATAAATATTGCTACTAATTTTCAAACTGCATGATTATATATTAATATATAATATCTCTTTACAAATAAAAATTCTTCTGATAAAGTCCACACATAAAATTATATATGGTTTTCATGCAGCCTTACTTAACGATAAAAAAAATACAAAATGATTGAATCTGATGTTTCCAGCCTTACAAACAATACAAGAAATGAATACAAAATATGATTCTGTCTGATTATCCCATTGTCTTAAATGTGTTGTCTTTTTACTATATTGGTACACTTAAGCATGGCACAACATTTACATTGCTCTTGTTGTTACAGCACCACAAAGATGTTCATTCTGTGAAATATAGGGTTTGTCCAAGAGAAACTTCAAGGACTCAACATTGTATTGGGGGTGGCCGGCCACACTTTAAAGTTGGCATCGTTGCTAAGGCGCTCAAAAGGTTTAAGGGGAAGCTCATTCCAAATATGCAATGGTACTTTGGCCTAAGATAAACAACCAATGAGTATGGTAATTGGCCTAATCATTCTATGAAAAAATGTCCCATGCTTTTAACCAATGAATATGGTGCTTTGGCCTAACCATTTCATGGCAAAAAG